GGTGCTGAGTCCCGTCTGTCCCAGGGTCTCAAATGTGACGAGACTTACTTGCACAGGTCTTCCCGTCGCTTCGGAGCGCGTGACCCTCAGGACACTGACAGGCAAAGGATCTATCTGTGTTGACACAGGAGTATTCACAACCGTGGTCGCTCAGCAAGCAGTAATCCACTCCTGTAAAACCAAAGCCGAGTGAGATCCCCGGGGAGGGGGAGGCAAGGCCTCTGGGCTGTGATAGAAATTAAGTAACCTTCACAATCCACAATCCACAGTCAGCAAGCAGTAATCCACCCCTGTAAAACCAAAGCCAAGTGAGATCCCTCCCGGGATCTCTGTTGGCAAGGCCTCCGGGCTTCCGTGGAAATTAAGTAACAGTTCTCATCTATTGGCATTCAAAGTCTTGGTCCCCAGCAGACATCCCCAGTCTCTCTGGAGGGCCGAGGGGAATGTGCTGATCTCTGTACACTTCACTCCTGTTGCAAACCCTTCCCCAGTAGAGAGATGGAAGGGAGACTCACTAGAGCAGGTCTTGAGGTCATCGTTGATGAGGAACCCTTCCGAGCACTGGCAGACAAAGGATTCTTCCGTGTTCAGGCACAGCTGCTCACAGCCATGGTCCTGCTGGGCACAGTGGTCCACGCCTGCATCGGTCACAAACACAGGGAAACAATAAAGGGGCTGACCCACGGACTGCTGACCAAAGCCTTCTGGCAGTAACAGCAGCCACAGGGAAGGTTCCACTCTGCCTAAAAGCTACCCGTCTTGCTGGGAAATCAGCCTTGTTCCTTGTCATAGCCAGCTTCAGCAGACTTGACACAAAACTTAGAGTCACCTGGGAAGAGGAGACCTCAGGTGAGGAATTGCCTCCATCAAATTGGCCCGTGGGGGTGTGTGGCATGCTGACTGATCGAAGCCCACCGCGAATAGTGTTAATCCCGGGAAGGTGGGCTTCTCCGAACGGGATAAGATTGCAAGCAGAATATGAACCTGGATGTAAAGCAGTAAACACTGTTCCTCTGTAGTTTCTGCCTCAGTTCCTGCCTTGACTTCCCTCGGTCAGAAACTGTGACATGGCAGCGGAAGCTGAAATAACCCTTTGCTCCCCAGGTTGCTTTTGGTCACGGCGTTTATCAGAGCAACAGAAAGCAAACTGGGACAGCAGCGGTTCCCATGTCCTTGCTATGGGTGCTGGAGGAATTTGACCTCTCTGTGCTGTCAACTACTTACCTGGGAACGATGGCAGTCCCCTTTTTTCTCTTTCTTTCTTTCTTTCTTTCTTTCTTTCTTTCTTTCTTTCTTTCTTTCTTTCTTTCTTTTTTTCAAGACAGGGTTTCTCTGTGGCTTTGGAGCCTATCCTGGAGCTCGCTCTGTAGACCAGGCTGGCCTCAAACTCAGAGATCCACCTGCCTCTGCCTCCCGAGTGCTGGGATTAAAGGTGTGCGCCACCAACGCCCGGCTCTTTTTTCTTTTTTTATGCTCCCTTTCCATGTGTTCATGGGATACACATGCATGTGTGTGAGCATGTTTGTGGAGGCCAGAGGACAACTTTGTCATTCTCAGGAAACAGAGTCTACCTCCTTCAGACAGTATCTCTCTCACTGGCTTGGATCATGACGATTAAGCTGGACTGGCAGGCTATTTCTGTTTCCTCCTGCCGTGCGCTGAGGTTACAAGTGCATGCCGCCATGCCTGGTGTTCTACCTGAGTTCTGGATGTAGAACTCAGACTCAGGGCTTGCAAAGCAAACACTTCACCAACTGGGTTTTTCTCCCAAGATGCCTGGAGGTCCCTACCTGGTGGTAATGTAGTGAAAGTTAGAGGAAATAGATCTAAAGCCCTCCAAACAATGGCTGGCACACTTAATGAATGGTTCTTATTATTGCTAAGTAGTGCTCAGAATTATTATGTAATTTACTTTTATTTGAAAAATAAAAAAGTGATTTTTTTTAATTCTCTTAATCAGGATGTCCAGATTCAGAAAAAAAAAACACTAAAAAATAAAAAACAAAAAATCCTGGCTTCCTGTGTGGTCCCTTCTGGAGTCCAAACACCACACAGCTGGTCCTTGGGCAGGGAACTCTGGAGGCCAGGAGGAAACACACAGCTGTGGTGGACAGCTCCCACAAAGCGCCCTCTGGGCTGCCTCCCAGATTTACTGACTGGAGAAAGTGCACCCCCCTCTCCCTCAATCAATTGGGATAGACACTGAAGGCTTCATGATGGCTGTCTGAAGTAAGCCTTTTCCCTCCTGCCTGTCTGAAAACCAGCAGCTTCTAGAACGATGGCAGACACACCTACAAAAACAGTTGCAGCATCTCAGAGCCACATGCCCGCCTTTAAATCCTGATTCTGCCACTTACCAGGCAGAACTTTCGGGAGGCACGTGAGAGCTAGGACGTCGAAGGTGCTCACAACTGTGCCTACCCAGAGCCAGCACCTCAGAAGTGCTTTCTGTCATAGTGCCTGTGGCTAAGAGCCCCATGATTTTCCCTGGGGACTTCTAGACAGAAATAGCTTGGTTTAAACTTTCTAAAAGTTGGCAAATCCTTTTTTTCTTTTTTTTTGGTTTTTTTGAGATAGGGTTTCTCTGTATTGTTTTGGAGCCTGTCCTGGAACTCGATTGGTAGACCAGGCTGGCCTCGAATTCACAGAGATCTACCTGTCTCTCTCTCTTTTTAAGATTTTATTTATTTATTATGTATACAACATTCTGCTTCCATGCATATCTGCACAACAGAAGAGGGCATCAGATCTCATTACAGATGGTTGTGAGCCACCATGTGGTTGCTGGGAATTGAACTTAGGTCCTCCAAATCTTACAGAGGAAGACCCCCATCTCTTCCAGGCTCATGTCTGAGCTCTTCTAGACTCCCCAAGGTGTTTCGAGATATTTGATCTCACCGTGAAACTCCGAGACTGGGTGAGTAAAATTAACTTTGGATGGGGAGGACGGAGCCAGTGACCAGATGGCCAGAATTAGCCATAGAGAGTATGGAGGACCCAGGAATTCAGATGCACAGAAAGGAGTATGGAGGGACTTAGAGATTCCAGGTCTTTCTGGTTTAGGACAAGTGGAGACATGCTTCTCTTGACTTCCTTGATCTAGCAGGTTTTCACCCCGACATCTGACTCCCGAATCCTTATTGGTAAATAGAACGATAGAGACTTAGTTAAAACCTACATATGGCGGCCACAACCACAGCCCACCAGTGCCAGTGGGACTGGAAATCTTTCCAAGACGCTGTCTGAGTGGGCTGCTGACTTCGAGTTGGAGGGCACAAAAATTATCAGAGATTCTGGTGCAACTCCTGAGCCGACAGAAAAAACGCCACCAGGGCATGCTGGGAGAGTCAAGATCATGCTTAGAAAGCCAAATCAAGGCATTTTGTTTCCTCGGAAGACGGAGGGGGATGAGGTTCCCCCAGGCTGGCTCCATGTCTCACATTTAAGCCGAGAAAGTTGTCCTCCTGGAAGAGCTGAAGCAGATGAAGTTTACTAGGTGCAAGGCCACACAAAGGGACCCTTCTGTGTAGGCCAATGTCACCAGCCCCAGCTCTTAGTGTGCCAGGACCCTTAGGATCCATCACAGCCCCCACATAGTCTCATCCTGCTGCCTTGGGCCTGTGGAAATGAGAACTCAAAAAAAAAAAAAAAAAAAAAAAGTCGTAGGCATATCCAGTTGGCAAGACCTGGAAGTTTCCATGTGTTTATGTCACCAAGCATTGTTGTGGTTCTGATACAAGAAAATAAAGGCTTTTATTTTTTCCTTTTATTTAAAAGTTTTTTGAGACAGGGTTTCTCCGTGGCTTTGGAGCCTATCCTAGAACTCGCTCTGAGACCAGGCTGGTCTTGAACTCATAGAGATCCTCCTGCCTCTGCCTGCCGAGTGCTGGTTCTAAAGGCGTGCGCCACCACTGTCCAGTCAAAGTAAAGGCTTTACAAAAGTCCCATGTTGTCCAGTTCTGCCCTCATATCAGCCTGGATAACCCGAAGTTTCCCAAGGTCCACCTCTTCTGGCCTCTTGTCCCAACCCGGTACCAGACAGTAATCACTTTCACAGGCTTGGTAATACACACTATTATCTTTTTGTTTGTTTGTTTGTTTTTTCAAGATAGAGTTTTTCTGAGGCTTTGGAGGCTGTCTACACTATTATCTTTTATTTTTAGTTGTATGTTTACCACAAACCAGGCACTAGGCCAAGAGACTGACATGGCCTCAACCATTCCTCATAACCACCTGGGGAATCAGTGCTATTAATATTCTCACTTTTTAAAATAGACAGGCAGTCAGAGCTTGGAGAATATCTGAGGTCACATATATAGAATGCAACAGGGCTTAGATTTGAATTCCCGCCTATCTGACTTAGTAAATGCTTTTTTTTTTAAAGATCTTATTTATTTATTTATTATGTATACAACATTCTGCTTCCATGTATATCTGCACACCAGTAGAGGGCACCAGATCTCATAACAGATGGTTGTGAGCCACCGTGTGGTTGCTGGGAATTGAACTCAGGACCTCTGGAAGAGCAGTCGGTGCTCTTAACCTCTGAGCCATCTCTTCAGGCCAGTAAATGCTTTTAATAGCAAAGAATAATAGCAGCCAGCAGCCTTGTTCTCAGCAGTCTACATATATTCTCTCTCTCCTCCCTCTCTTCTCTCCCTCACCTCTGGTTTTAGGGATGCTGGGAGTCTAACTGATGGCTTTGTTTGTGCAAGGCTAGCTTTCTACTGACTGAGCTACACCCTCAACCCCATACATATGTATTTATTTATTTATTTCCACTCCCTCTCAATCTTGTTCTCTTTCATTTTTTCATTTGTTTGTTTGTTTGTTTCTGAGGCTATGTCTTGCCAAAGAGCCCATGCTGGCCTCAGCCTCCTGAGTGCTGGGATTAGAGATGTGTATCACCACCGACTGGCTCCGTGCTGGTCTTGAACTCACCATCCTTCCGCCCCAGTCTCCTGGGTTCTGAGATTGTCAACTGTGCACCACTGTACTCAGCACACACTAACTTCTTTAAAAAATGTTTTTTAGATTTTATTTATTTTATGTTCATCAGAATTTTGCCTATGGGTATGCGTGTGTATTATATGTATGCCTGGTGCCTGTGGAGAGGTCAGAAGAGGGTGTTGGACCCCCTGGAACTGGAGTTACAAACAGTTGTGAGCCACCATGTGGGTGCTGGGAATGGAATCTGGGTCTTCTGTAAGAGCAGCCGGAGCGATTAATCACTGAGCGATCTCTCCAGCCCCCGTGTGGATTCTCTTAATTATTACATCACAACCTTTGAAGGGGGTTGACTTATAAAATGCAGGACACCCTGAAGCTACAGAAGGGCATGGCTGCTAATGAGCCCACAGAAATGAGCATGGACCCCATCCCCTCAGCACCCATACCCCTGGGGCACACTCACGGCTGCAGGTCTTGCCATTGGGGTCCAAAGTGTAGCCCGGCAGTAGTGGCCCTCCTCAGTGTTGACACACTCATGCTCACAGCCGGGTTTGTTCAGGGCACAGTAGTTGATCCCTGAGGGGAGAAAGTGAAGACCTTCCTTCAGACTCTGTGAGGCTATTAGGGTGGACTCCAGGGTTCCCACAGCCCCCATGGATAGTGCTGGTGGATGCTGCATGCCGGAGGCAAGCCAGGAGTCAGCGCTCATTCAGTCATTTACCAGCCAAGGGCCAGACCCTAAGTTAGACTTGTAGATGCAAATCTGAGGCCCACCTTCAGGATTTTGTGCTTTGGAGAACAACAGAAAGGAATCGGGAGCACTAGACACCAAAGATGTAACTGAGTACCAAGAAATGAAGCGAGGTTATTACTGATGCCTTCTATACATTTCACTGCCAGTTACACCACAAAGCGAGGAGCAGTGTGAACGGGCCAGGCACGGATGTAACTTCATCTGGTAGGGTCTGGCATGCCAAAGTCAGACATCAGAACTGCGAGATAATAAATGTCCTTTATGCATGTCTATTCATAAAGAGTTGGAGAGAATTTCAGTCTGAGGAGGTCCAGTTTGAAAATAAAATGATGAGCAACCCTGCCTATCAAGTTATGATGCCAGATGAATGGCTGAGAGGAGAAATTCCAGAAAAACTGGAAAGGTTAAAAATGTTGAGGCAGAGGCAGTCGGATCTCTGTGAGTTGGAGACCAGCCTGGTCTACAAGAGGGAGTTCCAGGACAGCCTCCAAAGCCACAGTGCTGGGATTAAAGGCATGAGCCACCAACGACCGGCGACAGATAAATTCTTACTGAAGTCTTTCCTGATAACAGAATACTGCCTGTTATAATTTTCCATTTCCTATACCTGATCCATCAGCCTCATAGGACACACTGATTTGTTGAAAAATTATTAATTTTTGAAAAGATAATTGAGTAACATTCACCAAAAGCTCTGGAGGACAAAGTGTACCAGTGTTTATAAACAATAATTTTCCTTGATCTCCTAAGGCATGTAACTCTTATTAAGTGCTTAGCTATGGTAACAGAAGTTCACACTGGCTTTTAAGGATGCTGTTTCAGCTATGATGAGCCCCAGCCTGATTACCAGAGTCCCGAATCTTAGAGTCCACCCCCAGGGTCACATCTGCAATCCACTCAGCCTCAGCACCGGCCTAGGTTCCAGGCTTTGCATCACCTGACCTTCATGATAAGTGCCCAAAATCGATGAGGGCGCTCACTGTCCAGGAGGAGGAAGGAGTCCTGGCCAAGGACTTCCCTTCAGTACTAGGCTGCCCTGAACTACTTTTCCCAGTTTAATTGGATGACACAGAATTCTTTTGAAACAGATTGTTTTTAATTAGATTTGAAAATAGCCTCCTGTTACATGTAAAAGGCCCGGTGTCTGTAAGACCCAGAGCACTCCAGAGATCTTAGATTCCTAATTACAGACCTCAGATTTTTTTTTAAAGCCAATTGCTCTGCTTCCCTCTGCCATAAAATTCTCTAGGGAACAAAAGCATTGCCTTCCACTCCCAAACGCCTGCCATAAAGTAGGACCGAGTGCAAGCATTAAGCCAGGACAGCTCCGACAGGCTGACCTCAGAGGTCCTGGCCTCGGCTCACAGCAAAGACAACGGAAAATGTAATGACGAGGAGAGAGATTTCGAGATGAGGACATCGGTTCTCAGGAAAAGTTCTGGATTAAAAAAAAGGGCCCCTGGCTGCAGAGAAAATGGAGCTGTCACCATCGGATACACACGGATGAGTGTGAGGGACTCTGGCAGGAGCCACAGCCTCCCAAACAGCCCATCTTTGGGCCAATTTGGGGTCCTAAAGCTGCTCTCTCAGCCTCTGTCCAAGACACTCCATCCCACTGCCCATGCCCTGGGGATGTGTGCAGTGACTGAATTAGAGCCTCCTTTCCTTCAAGTGTGTCTCCAGCAGGGCGTGGAGGGAGCAGCACAGATCAAGGAAATCCAGTTACATTGTAATTTCTCCAGGGTGAGGTATCTCAGAGCAACTCTTTCACTGCTGGCTCATTCACACAGGATCCAGGCCACAAGCCTGCACCCAACCCACTTTGAGCCAAGCATTCTGAGCTGTGGAGGATCCTGTGATGTCAAAGGCAAGCAAATGGTAACCCTTCCACTCTTCTGTCCTTAGGGAACATGTGCTCGTGTGTGTGTGTGTGTGTGTGTGTGTGTGTGTGTGTGTGTGTGTGTGTGTGAATGTGCTTGTGTATAGGTATGTTTGTATGTGTGTGTGTGTGTAAGTATGTAAGAATGGATGTATGTCTCTCTGTATGTATGTATGTGTGTGTGTGTGTGTATGTGTGTGTGTGTGTGTGTGTGTGTGTTTGTAGGTATGTGATGGGAGATGTCCTTCTGTATACTGTGAATAAATGTTTCTCTTCTTGGTTGATGGATCAAGCTGTTTCCGCCAATGGACAGGCTGGATGTGGTCAGGCAGGAAGTATAGGCAGGGCTACCAGACTAGGAGAATTCTGGAAAGAGGAAGGCAGGGAGTGAGTTGCCAAGGAGATACCATGTTGCTGCAGAGGGAGGAAGAGGTCTGGGCATCACCGATAAGTCAAGGCCACGTGGACACAGATTAACAGACATGGGCTAATAATTAAGAGAGAGCTAGCCAAATAAGAAGCCTGAGCCATCGGTCAAACAGTTTATAATTAATATAAGCTTCTGTGTGATTATTTGGGACTGAATAGCTGTGGGACCAGGAGGGACAGAAAATTCTATCTACAGTGTGTGTGTGTGTGTGTGTGTGTAGGTATGTGCGAATATGTATATATACATATGTATGTATGTTTGTATGTCTCTGTGTGTGTATGTATGTAAGAATGTATGTATGTATGTACATGTATATGTGTATATATGTATGTGTGTAGGTATGTATGAATATGTATGTATGTATGTGTATATGTGAATATGTATATATATATATATATATATAAGAATGTATATGTGTGTATGTATGTATGTGTAGGTATGTATGAATGCAAGAATGTATGTATGTATATATGTATTGTGTGAGTATGTAAGAATGTATGTATGTATGTCTGTGTGTGTGTTTGTGTGTGCAGATATTGGCGATCAGGCCTAGAGGTCAGCTTTGGAGTAGGTGCTCTAGTTGCTGGCTAAACC